TTAGTGGCTTAATAAAAAAAAGCATACCAGATACTCTTTTTATCCTAATCAAGGCTTTTCCCAACTCCACTCTGTACCTGCTTGATTTAAGGTTCAATCTATGGTTTAAAAAAAAAGAAAAAAAATCCTTTATATTGTAGTAGCAGGATACTGTACAGTTTGCACCAGATACTTAAAACTTGTGCTGAATAACACAAGTGAGGATCGTGCTTCTTATTTCCGTCATGTATATGAGACCAAGATGGCAGCACCTGCCCAAAAGCAATGACGAGAAGGCAGGAAGGGACAGGAAAAATGGGCAGATGGAAACGGAGAATTGGGGTGTGGAAGTGGAGAGTGTTGATACATCGCAGGTATTGCAACCAATGTCACACAACAATTTGTGTATAAATTGTTGATTGAGAAACTAATTTACTCTGTAAAGTTTCACCTAATGTACAATTTAAAAAAACAAAACAAAACAAAACTTGTGCTGAGTTTGAGATATTGGTAGCAGCATATACTGGCTTTTCTTCATAGAAGGACACCAAAAAATTCCATTATCAGCACAGACACTGTACAAACAAATTACTGCAAAGAACTCTTAAAAAAAAAAAAAAAACAGTTACCGTCAAGTCAGTTCCAACTGATGGCAACCATATCTGTTTCAGAGCAGAATTGCACTCTACAGGGTTTTCAGTGGCTGTAATCAAATGGTTGGCAGTTTGAATCCACCCAGAGGTGCCTTGGAAGAAAAGTCTGGTGATCTATTTCCAAAAGATCACAGGTATTGAAAATCCTATGGAGCGTAGTTCTACTCTGAAACACATTGGGTCTCCATGAGTCAGTATCGAGTCGACAGCAACTGGTTTTTTGTTTTTTATTTTTATTTATTTTTTTGGTAATCTTTCGAAGTAGATCACCAGGCCTTTTTTCCAAGGCACCTCTGGGTAGATTTGAACTGCCAACCTTAAACATTCGATAATGGTAACTTTATAAATGACTCTCTGAATCTTCTCACTAAGATCTATGGCAGGATTGGATTTTGGTTATTTTGTTTTTGTTTTTATGAATTGAGCACTTAATTAGCAATACTAATACCTGAAGGTAAGGGTAGTACTATGTGGACTGCAGAGAACTGAGCCATAATCCTAAGGCATTGAGGTACATAGGTATCTCCCAGCCCACTTCTCTGTTTTAGTGTTTAAGTAGAAATGAGATTTGGGAAGAATGTGACCTTAAAGCAATAAAAGAATCTTAAGACCAGAAGCCCAAGAGTTAGAAGAAAAGCTAAATCTAAAATCTTAACTACTTTCACCACCAAAGATCTGCAAGATGGTAGTGTTTCCTCTCCACCCTTTACTGTGGGAAAATTATTCTTAGAAGTAGGTAGAAATAGCACAGAAAATATGGATCGCTATACATAGCTGTTAGAAGGACCCACCCAAAATTCTGGCAATAGACAAATTTGCTTTATTTCTATCCTTCCCTCATTCTCCCTTTTACTTAGGTTTCTTTTTTTTTTCCAAAGTATTTGTTAAATGTGTTAATTGTGCTTAGCAATGTGCTAAGTGCTTTGGAAGAAAAAAGAAACACCTGTGGATCCCTTTCTGAAGCTGAAACTCTATTAAGTAAAAATGAGATGTAGACACATAAAATAGTTACATCACAGTGCAAGACAGCCTTGAAGTGAAAAGGGTGAGGGAAATTGAGACTTGAGAGCTTATGGAAAACCTGGTAGATAAGAATTCAACTGGACACTAAGGGACTGATAGAATTCCAGTGGGCAGGGAAGGCATGCTAGGCATTGGTTTGCAGGAATTTCCCCAACAAAGGAGCTATTTCCACCATGAATCATACGTACAATCGCATATTCTTAGATACACTAGCATTCGGCTCTTCACGAGGCCATTTACATGGCTTGGTAGACAGACTGCTAATTTTGCCTGGTTCATAAGTATTCTAATCAAACACGTTCTAATGAATTCCGAACACTGTGAAACAGAAGGATTCACAGCATTGCCTCAGAGTGAGAAGAGCCATTCTGCTTTTCAAGTTTGTATAAAATGCTTCTGCACAATACGGGCACATTCATATTTATTCATAGAAACGTTAAACATTTCTAATTAGTACGAAATATTCTTTCAAAATGTAGTGATATTTAGGAGTGCTAAAGGCCTTCATTTTTTACTGGAACATGGTGTGTTCTGCCTTTTGATCCACGAGTGGGTAAGGACTTTAAAATTATGGCAGTTCAGTGGGCTCTGCAAATAACCAAGACAAACTGGTAAATGTGAATGCTTGCCACTTGGCAAACTTAAATCTAAAGGTCTGTCCAAAGCACCTGGAAACACAGCTTAGATGAGGTCCCCCGTGGAATACGCTAAACTCCTATATGAACTAGTCTTCCAGCAGAGTTGAATTGGATTCCTATTATTTCACAGTTTACTTCCCTAGCCTCCCTTCTAACCTTTCCTGATCCCTGTGACCAAGAACTGGTTAAGAAATACTATACTAGCATATGCATAAAATATAAAAATCAGTTAGCTTGAGTCATGCATCTACATGCTGATACCTGAGCGTGTATGTGTGTGTATACATATATATATAAAACCAAATCCAAACCCATTGCCGTCAAGTCGATTCCAACTCATAGCAACCCTATAGGACAGAGTAGAACTGCCCCATAGGGTTTCCAGGAAGCGGCTGGTAGATTCAAACTGCTGACCTTTTGGTTAAAAGCCAAGCTCTTAACCACTGCACCACCAGAAACATACACATATATATATGCATGCATAAATGTACACTCGTGCATATATATGGCCAAAGCATCACTAGCACAACTCTTTGATAGAAACGATTACTATTATTTTAATATTTCTAATTTTCATGACTGCAGAAGGGAATCTTAGATACATTGTATCAGAAATATAAAATTATTCCCCTTCCCCTCATTCAATTTATGATATTCTAATATAATGTTCTCCAAACATTTGCTTTTATTAAGTGCATTTTAATAGGGCTTAATCATTTTTGTCTTATAGCAACAAGCTTATCTAAGGACCCCCAAATAGGATTCCAGTTGCTGTTGAGGCCCTGGAGGTGCAGTGGTTAAGAGCTACAGCGAGCTATGACTGCTAACCAAAAGGGTGGCAGTTCAAATCCACCAGCTACTCCTTGGAAATCCTATGGGACGGTTCTACTCTGTCCTGTAGGATCGCTATGAGTCAGAATTGATTTGATGGCAATGGGTTTTGTTTTTTGATTGGCTGTTCTTTAGGCATATACATAAAGACCTCCTCAGAAATGTCTTGGTTATTCTCTTATTACAAACTGGGTAGTTGAAGGGCTATCCCCACAATAATTACCTTAACTGAGATCTGGAAGACGCTTCCCAAAAACAAGGACACATTTCCCAAGCTAATCCTACAAGTGCTTATTTTGTGCTTATCAGGTACACCTTTGTTTTCCATATACTTTGAATGTATGGTATTACACCAAATTTATTTAAATGCATTCCTAGATAATTTTTAAGTGCCAATTAACATATTTTTCCTTTTAATCACCTTTCAAAGATAACATTATATTTATGCATAGCCTAATAACAAGTTGTGAAAATTAGCTGTTACTGATAGCTGAAATTCTACTTAGTGCAAGTTAGCTAATTAGTTATTTATCAAAAATTGTTGGTGGTAAGATTCTCTGGCAAGCTGAACAAACTGTACATCTTACCATATACATTAACTGATAATTCTCTATGAAATTGGTTATGAGGAAATTTAATTAATTGAAAGATAACAGTAACCATACTTTATCTATCTGGAAGCAAACTTTAGTAATTTCTCATACCCAAGATTTATTATTATTATTAACTATAATTATTATCTTATACCATATTTAAAAAAAAAATTTCCTTTTAACTTTTGGATTATTCAAATTATGGATAATTAGATGTTTGTGGAACTTAGTTGAGAAGAGTGATTGCCAAAATTTTTGGAAAACATCTTTAAATATTAGCATTTTTAGAACCATTTTTCCAATGTCTAAAAATTTTCTTCCACCACCCATCTGGGCAGAGATTTAGACTGATTTAACAGGCCATGTGCTTGGGATTAGATAGGTGCAGGAGACATACATGCCTTCATAACCCTATAAAAGAGATAGGAACAGTAGCCTACCAGTCACATGAAAAGCCTGCCAAACAGAACATCTCAAGGTAACTATGATAAAATGGTGCAATGTAGCTAAGAAAGATTAAACAAATAATGGAACAAATGAAGCAGATTTTTGGTAGACAAATTCGTATTTATCCCAAGTGTTTTAGCACTGACTTACTTAACCATTAAAAACATTTCTGAAATACGTAAGTCTGGGAGGAAGGGGGAACAAACAATTTTTGCTTTTGGTTCCTTACCATGTACTTTATAGGAGAATTTCAAAATATTATCTGAAAAGCAGTATTGAAATTAACTGCAATAACTTGCTAGACACTCATAATAGCACAGCATGTATCAATAGGCTAAATCCTGGGACAGGGATAATTGTCAGGGACATTGTTCTTGTTTAATAGAAATATGGATGATGCAGGCCTGATCTACTACTAGTTGGAAAGACTTATTCTAATGTAATGAAAACGATGATGCAAGCAATTGTGACAGATGAACTCTATCGTGAACGGTAAGCCAAAAGAGATTTTTTATCTCAACCAAGAATTGATTTCTCTCAGACAAAAAAAATTTTTCCTCTTTAAAATGAATTAAAAACGAAAGAAAAGAGCAGAATAGTAGGAGAAAGGGGGAGAAGGATTGAAATTCTCTGTGCATGCTAACAGATTTGGGAGAAAATTCTGGAATTTAAAATGACAGGTATTTATCAGGGTGTTAAGACAAAAACAAGGATAAAAGGTTATTAATGAACTTCAGACCTTTATTATAGAAGAATGTCCTTCTTACAGGCAGCTCTAGTTGAAGCATTTCATTGTTGATTATAGATTAAGAAAAATGAAAAAGAAAGTATATTACAGCATGACAAACAGTTCTTTCTTTAGCTTCCACTCCTAATTTTTCCCTCTATTATAAGCTTGGTTAATCAAAGGGCATAACTAGATTCCCCAATGGGGCGCTGAAGCAGAACTGCTGTGAACTAGTTCTTAAACTGTTGGTAGACTGAAACTGGTCATAGTGAGAGTATTTACACCGTGGAAATTGGCAAACACTACAAATCAAAGCTTTTTACTAGCACACTCCTGTCCTTTACTCACATATACATCAAAACTTAAAAGGTCCCAGGTATATTAATGATTTTCTTGCCTCATAGATGAGTGTACAACATAAAGAGAAATCACCATTAACACTGTCACCACACAGGAAACATGAACTGAACGTCTACTATGTACAGAGCACTATGCTAGGCTCTGAGGAAATAAAAAGCTGTAACACACCTTTCCTGTCCTGAGGAGCTCAAAATATAATCTGAGGGGAAGGTGATTCACAACAATTTTAAAAATGCAACACAAAATAATATCACAAGAGATCCAAATGAATGATAGAGTACTTTCTATGGGAGTTCGTAGAGAAAAGAGACAATACTTCATGAAGGAGATAGAACTCAGCATAGGGCACAGAAACGATGAGACAAGACTGGCATGAAATGAGAAAATGTACTCAGCATGTCTAAAGAAGAATATGAAATTCATTTCCCTGGAAAGCATGGTTCGAATGAGAAGTAGTGTGGCACAATAGAAAAAGCATGAGTTTTTAGGGATGGACAAACCTGGATTTGAATCTTCAGCTTGACAGCTATTAGCTGCCTGAGATTACTTCACCTCTTGTCAATTTCAGTGTTCTCATCTGTAAAATGGGGATAATTACTTCTACTTTCAGGTTCTTATGAGGATTAAATTAATTCATGTACAAAATCTCCTAGCACAGGATCTGACACATAGAAGACACTGGGAAACAAACAAAAAACTATCATCTGGAGACGATTTTGTCCGTCTCCAAAACCTCATGGTCGTCATCATCAATAACTAATGAGAAATCTGTTTGGAAAGTGAGCTGGAAGTCAGGTTGTGGAGCACACTGCATTTTTAAAGCACAAGTTTTAACTTTATTCGTTACTAGGGAGACATTGAAGGGATCTGAACATAGAGATGACATGTTCAAAATGGTATTTAAGAAGAACATCCTGGCTATAGCGCACAGACATTGACTTTGTAGTTACACAGCCCTGAGTTCTGTAATGGGAGCTTGCTGTATTATTTGAGACCATTCAGTTCTTTTATCAGGACGGATGGAGCTCACAAGAATTCTTAAGCATAGATATTAAGGAAGCTAGTGTCTCATAATATTCAGGCGAATTTCATTGGCAGGATCAACTTCATGGGCCTGTGACATATACTGTCCTATGAGACCCGACTCTCAGAAGGAACCTGTCCTTGGTTTAATGCTCTTCAGTTGTCATTTTGAAATTCTTAATAACTAAGATTCTTAATCATTTTTGAACAAAGGGCCCGACATTTTTATTTTGCATTAGATCCTGCAAATACGTAACTGGTCCTGCACATAGGATGTAAGTATAGTTAATAAGTAAATTGTAGCATGTAAGACAAGGGCATAGTTTATAAGATGTGTTAAACACAGATAGTAAGTTAGTAACCTGTAATATATGCCAAAGAAAAACAGACAATAGAAAATATGATGAACACACATTAATATTACAGTTAAAAAGAGATGGAAAGACCAAATCATAATCCTGCTACTTTGGGGCTGACTGCTGCTAAAGTGGCCACTGACTTGATAGCTCCAACAGACAACTCCCAAAAACATTGGGTCAGGGTGCTACAAAGCTCAGAATTTAAAGCAGTTAGTAGAAGAGCTAAATAAACATTTTTTGTTATAAAAATAAATGATTTTAAAATGCCTTCTACCCAAGAGCCAGTCAAAATTATAGTTGTAAAATTACAGTTGAAGTATAATTTTTAGACTCCTAATTTGTGGACTCATGAAATGTTAGAACTGTCCCCTCCCCAAAATAAGCTTCTTTAAATATCCAGTTAAGTGATATTTTAATTTTTTTCCTTATTTTAATAATCACAAATGTACTCTTTCTTCAAATGAGCACTTTCTATACTTTCTATGGAAGTACATTGTGTAGAAGAGAAAACAGTGGGTTTTCTCTGGTTGAAGCTGGTGTTGTGGCTCTCCCTCTTAACTCTACCTCCCTTGCCCTGAAGTAATTTCCCCAAACCACTTGAACTCTGGGGACAGCAGTTTGAAAACCATGGGCCACAATCCAATCCCTTCATTTTATAAATACATAACTTGGGGGCCCAGAGAGGTTAAGTTAAAGGCAGGGCTTATAACAGAGTTCAAGTCTCTTAAATTTCAGTCCAAAACCTAGTCCAGTATAACAAAATAAGGTGATTGCTTATTTATGTTTAGCCATGAGGGCTTTAATCTACCACCCATAATGTTCTGATATAGTTATAGGTTTTAGGTTTCAGGATGAGTAATTAGTAGACTGGTTATTTTCCACTCAGGTGTTTTATTTCATCTGTGGTGTCTGCTACCAAGTTAGGTAGGGAAGACCTAGCCATCCAACTTCTGAGTTAAACCTATGAATACTTGAAAAGAGATTATTCTTAATATTATGACCATCAGATAATTTTAAGTTAGATTACTAACATTAAATAGGAATTAATTTACTTTCAACCAATTGGAAAATATATCACTAATCCCCTTTTTCTCTCCCTATCCCCAGCATACATATTTTCACCCATTTAATGAACCATCCACAAAGAGAGTATCCTGCTTTATTAAGTTTACTGTTTCTCAGAGTTGAAGACAGTGGCCGTCAACACTGACTGCGTATCAACGACCATTAGAGTAAAAAAGAAAAATACACATCCCTGGTCCTGGACCAGACACACCTGCTCCTCCACCCAGAGATTCTTATTCAATAGGTTTAAGGTCACACTGGTGTGTGAAACTGTAGTAACATACAGTAAAACATACATGGAGGGACACTGTTCCATAATGAGAGTGGAATTGATGTTAAACCCTAAGGAAGTGATTTCTTTTCAACCCTATAAAGCCAATTCTGCTGCCCTAAAAATGTTGCCTTTCAGTTCCTGAGTCATGTTTGAGAGTCCATAAGGATTTGTAACCAATTCCTAGAGCTTCTTGAGTATGTATTAACTGCCTGTTTTAACCATATTTTGACCTTAAGCCCTA